CGGGGCAGTGCTACTAAGCGGTTACTTCTCTCATGTTCAATGCAGAATCCACGTCTCATAACCTGGGAAGGTTTGGGAAGAGATCTGGCTACCTGGCTTGTTGCTGTGAGGTATTACAGCCAAACTAGGGACCTTTGGTGACCTCCAAAGAGTCTCTGATTCTCTGGGGTCTGTTCTTTCCCCGTGAAGCGTTTGTGATTGTTAGTGGCCAGGTAGGGCTGTGCTCGGTCTCCCTGTGTCTCTAGCACTGTTGGGCTGCTATGAAGAAAATCAACTTCCTCCCAGCCAGATCCAGTACAAGCACCGAGAGGTGTTTGCAGGGCTGGGGAACTGGGGACTCTAGCACGCTAGGGAGAGCAGAAGAGAGGGATTGCCAGCTCCAGGCTTTCTTCTGCTGCAGTATTCAAATGCAGCCCCAGAAGGTGACTCCTGTCCACTTGGTCTTAAACCCCTCTGTCTCTGGGTGGGGGATCTAGGACACTTCAAGAACAAGCTGGCCAGCTTGGTGCCCTGTGGTCACAGAACTCCATGGATGTGGTCTTGGGGAACAAAGCTTCTGGTTATGTTGGCTGTTGTTACATGTTGGTATAACACTGGTATTTTCCTTTGAGACCTCCCAGCCAAAGCTTTCCCCGCCCCTCTGACGAAGGGCGGGGAGTGCCCTAAATACCTCCTCTTAACTAGCCTCGCTTGCACCTCCCCATGGAAATGCTCACGGAGCCATATGGCAGATCTGTGAGATCTGCTGCACTGCTTCTCTGGGTTCTCCAGCTGCAGGACACGGGAGGCAGCAGGGCATTAGGGAGAGCTTACAGGTTTTGGCTGATTCCAGGGCTGTTCTGTGCTGACCTGCTGGAGCAGCAGCTTGGCTGTGTCAGGTCCCAGCAGGGCCTCGGGACTTCTGGGCTGGCGTCTTGCAGGTCCCCTGCCTCTGGAGATGAGTGGGACAGGCTAGGGAAAGCCCTTTGTGCTCCAGGACTTGGTGACTGCAGGAGACTTCCTGAAAAAGATCTAGTGAGCTTGAGGGAGGCTTTCTTCTCTGTACCCCCAAGCTTGCTGCACCTGTCTGCAAGGGAAAGACCTTCCTACTGAAGGTTGGAGGGAGCCTGAGGCAGCCCAGGATTAGGGTGGGAGGGGTGATGAGGTTCAGATGATCCATCCTTGGAACGAGCCAGACACTAGAACAGCTTCATCCCTGGAAGCAGTTTGTCCAACCTGTTAGAGATCTCCTGTACTAGAGATCCCAGGACCACCGTTTGCTGTGACTCCTGTTGGTTGTGAGGCCACGTGTCATTGCAGGGATATTCCCTGAGGCCTTGCTGTGATGGAAGCTGTTGCCTCTTATGCTTCCCACTGCAGCAGGGGCCCAAGGACAGTGTTACTTCCCTGGCACTGATGTCTTGGATATTGAATGACTGCAGGCTGTACCCTCCTTCCGTGCTGCTGGAGACCTCAGAGCATCTGATAGATGCTGATGGATGGATCTCCCTCCCCCTTGGAGATAAGAAAACAACATTCTCACCCCCTTGCTCAAAAGAACAGCTGCGGGGGGGGGCGAGTGGTGCAAGGTCACGGAGCTGGAGAGCTTACGTGTGCTCCTGCCTTCAAGCTTTAAGCAGCATCGCCCTCCCTCATGTGCTATCACTTGCCTTTTGTAAGTGCAGGTTTGGCTTAAATGAGCAGGGCAGAGGTGACTTTCTAGCTTAAGTGTGTTTTGGGACACAGGTAGAAAGCTGCACTGGAAGGCCATAAAACTGTATGCACGTAAGAATCATCCCCTTCTGGGGAAGAGAGCGTGACCTAGGAAGCACAGGGCTACCCAGGTTGGAGGATTGGGCTTGTCACCAGGTGGGACGCCTCTCTGCATCACGTTCTTCAAAGACTGTGCAGGGAACACGCTTCCAGGACCCGTGACTGCAGTAGGACACGGGATCAATATAGTCTTGTTGCCAGCTTGTCACTTCATCACGTGCAGCATAAGAGCTGAAAATGCCAGTTTCTTGTGCCAGGGTTGCAGCATTTCCTCGTGGACGGGGCACTCCTGCTCCCAGCCGAGAACTGTCTGTTATATTGTTAATGCTGTGCCTGTGGTTACAGACATGTCTAATGTATGTGCGTGTGTCTGCCAGGCCCTGGATTACTGTCACAGCATGGGGATCATGCACAGGGACGTCAAACCCCACAACGTCATGATAGACCACCAACAGAAAAAGGTACCGTGGCACCAGGGCTTACAAGCAGGGTTTTTCCAGGGAAACTTGAAACTCTGCCACCTCTGTACCCATAGCCTGGGCAGCTGTACTTACCCCTTTAACCTTTCTTGACCAGCTCCCCTCCACTTGTGCCTGCGTCAGGAGATGGCCAAAGTCCCACTGGGGAGCACCACAGTGGGAGTCTGTGGCTTGGAGGTGGCTCTTCCCCCAAGCCAACCACGCTGGGTTTCTTTGCTGAGAGGAGCCAGTCTGGGCCATTAATCTCCACCTGGGGAGGTGTGGCAGTAGGGTGCAGAGGCCCTGGGCAGAAGGGTGGCCTTGTCTGAAATACACGTGGATATTTTTACCTAGGGAACATAAGCTCCTCCTGTAGTACAGCCTGCTTGTCCCACAGTGGCTTCCTCGCTTCTGGGGCGCACTAGCTAGATCACAGGAAACGTTTGTACCCAGCTCGCTACCGTGGAAATGGGCAGCACAGGGAGCTTCCCCACCCCATCATGGTACTTGCACCTCATCGGGTGCTGTGTGTACCTGTCTCCCCAGGGACCTGGGATTTGCAGCAGCAAATTAGTTGCTGGTCCACAGGTCCCTCCCTGTCAATCACTGGTGGCTGTACGGGCAAGGCAAGGTTTATAAGGAGGGGGAAGTCTCTTACTAGACCCTCTGTCCTTCGGTAACACGGCAGGTCGTCCATCCCTGTGGCTGTGGAGGAGGTGGTCTGCCTTGCAGGATGTGGGGGGCCCCCCTCCTACCTCGTTTCCTGCTCTCAGCCCTCAGTTAAAATCAACACTGCCTTCAGCCCAGCCCCTCTAAACATCAGGATAAGACGGCTGGCTTTTGCCTGTTTCCTAGTATGCAACGACCTGTCCGCTGTGGCTGGTGGTGCTGGTAAGGAGCCAGTTGCCCAGCAGTAACAGTGTGCTTGGACTCAGGAGGCAGAGGACCTCTCTAAGCTGGGCTTTGCCTCACCAGCTGGTGATAGGGGGAAGGGAAGAGCCTGACCAGAGCACTGCTGAGAGCATCTCCTGTCCTCAGAGTGCCTCTCTGCATCCCAGGCTCCACTCTTGCATCGCAGGATTGAGAGGTTTGGCCAAGGTGGCTTCCCCTAACCGGCTCATACTGAGGCTCCTGACTCTGTCTCTCTTTATTGCATGTTCAGCTGCGGCTCATAGACTGGGGTCTGGCCGAATTCTACCATCCAGCTCAGGAATACAATGTCCGTGTGGCCTCTAGGTACTTCAAAGGACCGGAGCTCCTTGTGGACTACCAAGTAAGAGTCTGCCTCCTCCTTGCTAGCCAGTGATACCACTTGTGGTTGCACTTAGACAACCCAAAGGTGGCCAGGTTTTGCCTGCCAGGGCATTGCCTGGGTTGGAAAGAGGCTGGCTGTGAAGTGAAAAGGCTGAGGTTGCCCGTGTGGTTGGGGAACCGGGCCGTGGTGAGCATGCCTTTTCTCACAGCTTCTCCTTTTTCCCCTCAGATGTATGACTACAGCTTAGACATGTGGAGTCTAGGCTGTATGCTGGCAAGCATGATCTTCCGAAAGGAGCCCTTCTTCCACGGCCAGGACAATTATGACCAAGTAAAGACTTTGCTACCTGGCTTATTTCATGAGACGTTTGTCACCGCCTCATCCCTGTGTGTATAGTGGGGAGGTTCTGGGGATCAGACCACCAGGTTGGGTGGTCTGATCTTAACTAAGCTACGTGCTTAGTTAAGCCATCTGGGATTATGCTTCACTGCCTTGTGTAGGAGACTTGTTTTCTGCACATGCTGCAAAAACAAGTTTTGAGGGAGATACTCCTTCCATCTGGGATGTTTCCAGAAGGAGAGCTCTTAGATTTGGGCAGCTCTGCCTCTGCGAAAAAGTGGTAGCCTGCCCCTTCTGCTCTCTCTCAACATGCCTTTTGTTCCAGCTGGTTCGCATCGCAAAAGTCCTGGGCACAGATGAGCTGTATGGGTATCTCAAGAAGTACCACATAGAACTGGACCCGCACTTCAATGATATCCTGGGCCAGTAAGTGGAGAAGTGAAATGCAGCCTTTTTTCCTTGTAATACAGAGAGGGAGATAAACTGATGTCCATCCCCTTGAAGGACTCTCGGCAAAGGCCTGCTCTGATCTTCTGGGTCACAGTGCTGCTTGCAGGCCTCCCATCTGGCTGTTCATGTCATCTCAGGAGGTCACTGAAATGCAGGCACTTTCCTTTTGCCTCTCCCGTGATCCACGAGCCATCCCCTCTTTCTTCCTTCTCCTGCTTGTTGACATCGTAGAAGTGGAGATGTAGACACGAGTTGAGTGTGGGCTGAGGGGCTCAAAATCTCCCAGCTGAGATTCCTAAGAAGGATGAGAGGTGGATGAGATAGCGAGGACAGCTTCTGTGAGGCTGGCTGGCAAGCCAGAGCACTTCTGGCCTCAAGGGTGTCACCCTGCCTGCTGCATGCTGTTGTCTAGTCCCTGTAGACAGAAGGGAACGTGCAATATTTTGCCTTTCCCAGGCGTAGGACATCCACACAAGAATGTGTGTGGATGACTACCTGAAGAAGAGGGGTTTCCCCCTTCAGCAAGTGCTTGCTGAGCAGTAGCTTGTGCAAGGAAGAGCTGTAAGCAGTGTCTGTCGCAGCTATCTCTTCTCAGAAGTAGATAGTGGCAGGTGATTCCCCTGGGACCTCCGGGACCTCTGGGAACTGCTGCGCTGGCCAGAGCTGGGCAGTGACAGCTGGTCCCTTTGCAGGCATTCCCGGAAGCGCTGGGAGAACTTCATCCACAGTGAGAACAGACACCTGGTGAGTCCTGAAGTCCTAGACCTCCTGGACAAGCTCCTGCGATATGACCATCAACAGAGGCTGACCGCCAAGGAGGCGATGGAGCACCCCTATTTCTGTGAGTCTGTGGAGAAGCTGGGGCCAGCTGGGATAGAGAGGGGTCTTGGGTTGTGGGGGCAAATTTCAGCTCCCCGCTCTGCAAAAACCTTAGCAGCTGTGTGGGTTTTGAGGGCAGTTTCTCTGGAAGGGTTTGCCAGGGTGGAGCTTCCGCTTTATTAAATGCTGTTTCCCCTTCCTGCCTGGTCTGTGTCTCCTGCAGATCCAGTGGTGAAGGAGCAGTCCCAGCCCAGCTCAGAAAATGCTGTGCTCTCCAGTGGCCTGACAACAGCGCGATGAAGACTGGAAAACGACGGGTAATTCAAGATGTTTACAAATAAAAGCAAAACCTTCAGTCACGCAGTGAAGGGAAAAGAACCAAGGACCCCCCCCCCCCCCCCCCCCCCCCCCCCCCCCTCCCCCCACGCACCA